CAAATGACCTCATCCGAGCGCAGTCTTTTAACCACCCACAAAAACCACTGACGTATTTTGATATTCAATGACGCATCCAGCCCAGAGGAATATTCCCTCTTAGATAATTGGGATACAATGTGTTGATAATGAAGCAAATTGGGGTTTTTGTGGGAGATAATTTGCATCCTCATTAGGCCAGTCATTTAGAAACAAAGGCTATTATGCTACAATATTTTTTTTCTTTACAGTAAATGCAGAAATGTAGGTTTAGCCCTGAAAAATGCATTCTGCCGAATGCAACGAGGGTGAACCCGTCAAGTATTTGCATGATCAATAATTGATGCGATTGCCACTCTTTCACTGTGTCATCAGTGTCACAGCAGCAAGCCAACATTTTTGTTATATAGAGGTGAAAAATGTGCGGGTCTGTTTGTTCTCTAAATCCCCGCAGGTTCATCTGGGTTCAGCACAGATCCCAGCAGGGGTGCTAGACACAAGAGGGTGGGCGGGTGCCAAACCTCACTGTTGTCTTCAAATGAATAGAGGAACTTAAGTGACCTCAGACAAGCCAATTTAGAGCGTGTTAAGGCAACTGTGAATGGCCGATGGCTGCACCTAGCAACACCTCCTAAAGAGAAGCAAGCAGTGTCCTTCAAATGATCCTGTATGAAAATGACTGCTTATGAATGAACTAGAATATCAATGGCACTTATGCCGGTAATTAACTGTTAGTGTGTCCTCATTCAGTATTGCGGTCAGAGAGTAACTGATTTCAAAACAGAAGCAGGTACACATTACAGCACCTACTTACACAAGAAGCAACGCGTTAAATCATTAAGAGAAAATGCAACAAGAGAATAAACAAATACGACTCATCCTTTTTAAAGTCATTGTAATGGTCAAAAAAATAGAGATTGGACCTGTTTGTTTATGTAATGTTAAATAATGCATGAGTTCATCAGTTACAAATCTGATGTTTTATTAATTTTAGATTTAAACATTATCTTTAATTAGAATAAAATAAAACAAAGAACCAAATAAGCTTCACACCTTAAGCTACTTTACGTTTAATTGACAAAGACATACGACATTTTTTTTCTCTTCTGTATGTTAGAAAGTGCTTTGGTAAAATGTGAACAGAAGTAGGGTAGATTAAAACAGTTACGCTGTGACACTACAGTGATAAACATATCTGCGATTCAGATAAATAAATATCTCTTGAGATAAATCATTTGCTTTCAAAAGGTGTGATGAATGTTTACCAGTTTGGTCCAGCAGATGGCAGCAGAGGACCGCCTTTTCATTCTCATTTGTCTAATTCAACAGGGTTTACAAACGTGTCTTACGACCACGCCGCCCCGTCTGTATACTCATTCTGCTGTACTGCCTGTTGACAGAAGCACGTTACACTGCCATGGCTAAATATAATGCACAACTTGCTTGCTCAGTGTAGAATATGAGCAGATTTGGATTTTCTTCATAATAGTTTTATCTCTCTTATCACATCTGCTGTTACTTCTTGTGTAAAGGGAAAGATGGAACAACTGATTGAAGACACTCTGGAGATTTAGGGAACATGATCTGAACTCATGTCACAATTTTTTTTTTTTTTTTTTGAGACTAGACTTGGATTTTAATGAGTCAGTTCAGTTAATGCACAGTGCTAAACTGAAATAGACATGTCATGACTTGCACTGTTTTTTTTAGATTCTTCTACATTTCAATTAACACACACACACATGCACAACCTTGATTTGCTGTTCACTTGACTTTCACGACTGGTTGTTTTCTATTTGCTGTAAAAATAAAATGCAGATATTGAATATGGTTTTGTTCAAAGTTTAGCTGAATATTTGAGATTCTGCCTGTAGCCTCACAGTCATCCAAATAGGATGCACCTGCATGCAATCACGACCAGAGCTTTGTCCGTCTCCATGAGCCTGTGTCGAGTGTTGGTTGGCTGCCATCAACACAACACAGACACTTCTGGTTGCCAACACCATCAGCAGCTTCGTAGGTCTAGGTATCCTGGAGTGGTTGCAGAGAAAGAATACAAATACATTATTTACACGTCTCATGATTTCTCAAGTCCAGACTACCATTGGTTATTTTTCCTTTCCTACATCACCACCTGCTCTCTTTAGACGGAGAAACTGGTGTTCATGCTAAACCTGACAAATACATGAAAAGCTGCACATCACCTCTCCAGAGAGAAATGTGTGGCTGTTAGATTAATGACTCTCTGGTGTCCATCAAGAGCGCTGCAAGGGGAAAAAAACAGCTTGAAAGAAACTAATGACAACTCACAGAGCAGTTTTGTTTTTTTTTTAGGATGAAAATATAAAACTCACATGTTCTCTTTATTTGCTGTATATAGATAGATGTACACCACTGGAGATTTGGATAAAAGCACACACAAAAAGCTCATGTATGTAGGATCTCAACACATGTCTGGAGGTGGAAAACAAAACGGAAAAGATGTTGGATTACAAGTAGATAAAAAACTATCCAAATTCTATGCGGTTTCTAAATGTAAATCGTCACATGTGTTGAAGTCTGTGCCACATACCAACTGTCTGCAGTTGCTAATAACCTCTGTATTCTGTACACAGGGTATTTTGTACAAAATATGAAATCTACCATTTAATAATAGTTATAACATAAAATAAAAGTACATTATATGTACAATATTAGATGAAGCCATTTAGTATGAGACGTATACTAAAGGACACTTGCAATAATTATTCTTTTCAAAGAAAAAGAAAACAAAGCTTATGTAAAATGAAAAGAGCTCCAAAGAAGCCAATATTAAAGCCATTTCAAGAAGAACAAAAAGTCACCAATGGGACACTAACAAGGTGCCGCTGCCGCACTGCATGACAACGCAGACAACCAACAATCAGAGGATGCAGAATACTGAAGGGATGGAATCACTTTCCTTTCGTCAGATCTACCGTAATACCCGGGGTGGAGGGGGACGAGGTTTTTGTAAAAGCCTTTGGTGAATGTTGTTCTTCAAGACAAACGAGGAGAAAAAAGGAACAGTGTGACTGCAGTATTATTTACAATTTGCACATTCAGTTGAAACACTGACAAGAGGTTCTGCAGGCAAAGGAAGAATAAAACCACAACAAAAAGAACTTGCAAGCATCCAGAAGCAGATCAAAATCATGTCCAAATAACGAGCCCTACAGGGGAGTAAGTAGGCTTTTAACTGGGAGGGGCGCGAGAGAGGGAGGGAGTAGGGGTCAAACAATGGTACAAATCAAAAGTGGAATGGGGGGGGGGCAGAATGGAAAAGTTGCGATGGGAGGTGTTTTCCTCTCCTGTGGAGGCTAGCTCTTATCGACAGGCGCCCAGGGGATGTGACCCCACACACCAAGACAGACAGCATCACAGATTTCAATTCTTTACTAGTTTGTTTTTTTCAGTTGTGTTTCTATTTTCTTTCAAGTTTTATCAGGAAGTGCTTCTTTGCTGAAGTGGTTTGGGGCGACCACTCTACTTCTCCTCTCGAGCTTTTAACTACAAAATGGACTTTGTAGCTTCAACAAGGCATGTGCTGGAGTCCAAGGGGCCCGAGGTGTGCTGAGTACAGACTTGAACGTATCTTTTTTTTTTTTTTTTTTTTTTGGAAACTAATGTCGCAATTTTTTTTTTAGGATCTGACATTTTTGTTAATGCTACTACTCGATTCTCAGTTGAGCAAATATCCCCTTAGACTATAAAAGGCACTGTGAAAAGAAAGGCTAATGTTTGACCTCTTCAAACCAAACATACCTCATCTATGATGCAGTCTAATCTCTAACAAGTGTTTTATAAATAAAAGGGTCTTGCTTGAGAAGAGTAGAAAAAGCAATTACTATCAGCACAGGATCTGACCCCGTTTGACTTCACTCAACACACGGCAACATTGTGTAAATCCCAGACGAGCAACTACATCTCTCTGACCTCTCATAAGCCTCACATGAATGACACTGACTTGTACTGAATGCTAATGTCCATGTTAAACGCGCTCCTACAATGGCTGGATGTGAACGGGGAACTAAAAATAAATCCCATAATCCCCTCTCAGGTAACTGGTGCAGCGAACCGGGCTTGAGCTGGACTCGTCCCACTGACCAATCAAACGTTACTAAACATGTAATATCAAACTTATCTAACCATTGTTTGAGCCACAGACACACGCCGCAACCCGTGTTAACCTATTGCCTACACAAACAAAAGGAAACTAAATTAGTGAGAGAAGTTGGCACTGAACTGGGCTTCTACACAGGGACAAAGATCTGGTAGATGAAAAACCCAGAACCTGGACCTCTGTCAGGCCAGCACTGTTTGATGAACAGAACTATGTTGTAACGCTTTTAAACCAGACGCACTCTACTGGCGAGTCCTCGCTGACCCTGCCCTGATTAACAGAATGATCAATGAATCTTCACAGCTGATGGAAAATAAACTGAGAAAAAAAATAGCAAGCTCCAAACAGAACGGTTATACAGAGAGGAAGTGTGTTTTACTCTGAGAAGAGCTCCTAATATACTATGTAGGAAAAAATATAAACAGCTGTCTAGATTAAATGTTATGAGAAAAATAGCTAATATTAAATATATAGAAACAACGGACATTTTCTCATCAACTGATGTTTTTTTGTTTTGTTTAAATTAAACCAAAGAAGTCCTCTGTGGAGGGGCTCATATTATTATTTGTACAAGCACCTGACATCTATAAGAGGCAAGAAGAGAAGACAGCTCACACACACGCACACACGCGCGCACACACACACACGCACGCACACAGAACAGAACAGAACAGAACACCTGAGAGAAATGACCAGAAGGGGGCAGCACAGCACCCCGAAAACACGACAGGTTGAGAGGACAGGAAAAGAGAAAAACCAGGGAGGAGAAGAGATAACAACACTACAGTATCTTAGGTGAAAGTCATGGTGTGTCGTGGTCATGCAGGACCGTCCAGCACCACAGACGTCCCTGCTGGACAACAACCAGGTGGGGGGGGGGGGAAGGTATCAGTAAGGACTGAGCACCGCTTGTCCGGAAAGCTGAACCGGGCTTAGATGTGCGGCTTTAGACATTTTCTGTGTCAGGTGGAGCTGGGACTTTTCAGTTCTGTGTTGTGCTGGGCTGGTCTGGTCTGAGATACCAGAGTTCTGTTGTTGTGCTGGCCTCTGTGGGCCTGTGGTTCCTCTGTGGATGCTTCTGCTGCTGCTGGTTTATGGTGGTTCTGGGGTGGTCTCTTAGTGGCCGTCGTGCGGCGTTAACATTTCCTCGGCTCTCCGGTGCAACTCCAAGGCTGTGACAGTGGAGATGTCCTTGGGGAGCTCTGATTTCCTTCGCATCAATGGGCGTTCTCGTCGCTGATCTTTTTGGATCTGAACTCATGGAGACAGAGGGACAGACAGGGATTAGAAACATTTAACAATGATACGCACTCCAGCCCTGCTTCACAGATATTTAACTGCTGCCCGCCACGGGAAACAGAAAAGTGTGACACTTATCTCTCATTTTTCTACCTCTGAAATCCAAGACAAACAAAAACATCTGCATTTCATGCACCAAGCTCTCACACTTTCAACACGAGCAAACCTCATTTTACAACGTGAAAGTTGAAAAAGAAAAGAAAAAAAAAAAGAAAAAAAAGGCAATATTGCAAAACAAATTAGTTTGAGGCAAAATTCTCAAATTCTCCAGGTTTGTCTTGGAAGTTAGAAGACAGCTGGGGTGATACTTTGTCAATAACGTGACCCACGTCTGTTATGTCTGAATAATCATCTTGACTAAATAAATTACTATTAATCTACTACTTCTTAAGGGATGCAGTGAAGGAGTAACATTACCTGAAATAGCCTCAAGTGTGTGAGTTCTGCTTGGCAACAAAATGTCCAACCACATCCAAATGGCTAGATGTCTCTATGTTGTTGCATTGACTCAAAAACATGAGGCAGCTGCCAATCTTTATACTGATCAAATCTTCATTGCGTTTGACAGTCAAACTGAAGTACAATTATGGTAATTTCCTATTTCCTGAGAATTGACTGCAAACTCCCAGCACATGTTTCTGCTAAAGCACATCTATATAAAGATAAAAGCTACAGTGGGCAAAATTTATCTAAATGTATTTTAAGTGGAAACATGATACAGAATAACCCTTATAATTTAATGGAGTGGTTTACTCCATTAAATTATAACTGTAGCAGGTTTACACAAGGCAGCCACACTGTACATGAACTCTAACCTTCCTCAGACAGACATGTCTGCATATTCACTGCTACACCACACGCCGACACCCCATCCCTCACCTGTGTTGCTTCCTCCTCCACCGCTTTCTTTAGCATGTTGACATCATCCAGCAGTGGCCCGTCTGTCTCCATGTCCATTGGACTGTCTGAGCCTACTGAGTCAACGTACATCAGAAACTGTGCACGGAGAAGAGAACAAAAGGAAATGTTAAAAGGCACCACACCACTGATGTCACAAGTTCAGTTATTGCAGCTTTTGTCTTTGATCAACATTCAGGAATTTTTATTTCTCACATTCAGACTCATTGCAGACAATCAAACCTCTCTCCTCTCATGCCAACATGCACAGATATGAAGACTCTATTCCCTTTTCCAACGTAGAATATTATGGCTATATTGACGTACACTAGACTCAAAGGCTGTGACTGGATACGAAAAATTGAAGCACACACTTGATGCTCATTTTGATCACAGAAACACAAAAATGTCAAACAAGATAAAAGTTAGTGAGGCAATCTTGAAACACATCAGGCGCTGTTCATAACTTACATTAAAATGTGTCAAGTGGCCTCTTATGATCAGATCTGACTTCCCCGCTCTATATGCAAATAAACACACACATCATTTGTTTGCAAAGACCAAATGCCTTTTGCCAGTGCGACTATGACAGATTGGTCCATTAACAATGTGTTTGTAGGTGGGGTAGGCTGAGCCAATCAAGGTTTTAGCCACCACAAATAAATCTGTGTATGGGAAACACTGACAAGTGTAAAAATATTTTTTGGTTCATTATAAAACTGGTGCGGAACAAATTAAGACTGCAACAGAGGATGTCAGTTGTGTACGTGTCCTTCAATGTGATCCAAGGCACATCGCATACACACTTGGGTGTCTTGGGTGCATTCACACCTGTACTCACAGCTGTCCACTTGTGATCAGATCACCCAAGACACATGTTAATGCCAGGTTTTAAACAGGGCGAGTCAGTAAGATGTTTACAGCATTAAAATCTCTGTGCTCACCTGTGGGTTTGACTTTGCTAGATTCTCAATCTTCAGCCACGCTTCTTCTCTCTCTTTCCATTTAGCTTTCTCTCTGAGACACCAAACAGACAAAATCATTAAGAGATGACTTCAAAAGGAAAAATGTACTCATACACTGACATCAAGAATCTGTTAAGTTAAAAGCATCTCAGGAGTTGGTGGTTCAGTTTACTTCTCTGGTTTACTTATCTGCTTAGTCATTTTTTCCATTCTAATAATGTTTGTATGATGCTTTCAACGCGGTGTGTAGCTGTGTTCTAAGACCAAGAGAGCTGCAGCTTCACTGGAGATTCAGACATGATGTTTAATGTGCGACTTACTTGCTTTTCTCTGCCCTAAACTGTTGGGTGCAGTCATCAAACAGCTTCTGGTTCATCTCCATGAAGAGTTTCAGAGCATTGTAGATCAACCCGTGTATGGTCCTGCAGACACACAAAGATTAGCACGGGTCACTTGAATTACGTGCTTAGCTATCATCACAAGCCATCATCAGACGGACTAACACAGAGACAGACATGGGGAGAAAACGCTGTAGTGACTCACTTGTTCCAGTGAGTCTTGGAGTTGCGGTAGAGGGCTGGGAACATGATTGGCAGGATCTTGGCGGCGTTGTCACTGATCAGGCTCATGATGTACTCATTGTTCCAGTAGTACAGAGCTCGCTCTGCCACCTAATGAAACATTAGTCCATAACAGGTTACATATGTGCACAGACAACTTCTGATAGAAAAAAAAAAAAGAAAATGTACCCAGATGACCTCAGTGCTATATATATATAAAACAAAACACATCAGTGTACTGAAAGAATTGTCAGACCTGAAAGTGTGGGCTGGACACACACTTGGCCAGCTGTCTGAAGAGGGGCTCCATGACTTTGACAAACTCTGAAGGTTCAATGACGTCCAGGATCTCCTCCAGTTCATTGAGGAACATCACCTCTTTTGGACTGTGGGTCTTTGGCCAGTACTTTAACAAAGCCATCACCGTCTGCACACACACACACACACGCACACCCACACACACGACAACAGGCTTGTCAATGAGGAATGTCTCGACAGACGATTTGTCCAAACTAATCATCTGTTGTGAAGGACTACATGGCTAGCGTTTCTAAAGAGCGATAAAGCACAGACAGCTATGTAGATACTTTGTTTGTATACCATTGAGCTTGTCTCTCAGGAGAAGGGACTTTATCTGATTTTAGTGGACTGAAAGTTTGTTTTTCTCTCTATTGTATTGAAATCACACAGGATCAGCAAGGAAATAGCTCACATCTTATTTTTTTTCCTCCATATTTATTTTTATCAAATAATTCAAATGCATTTCCTCTGCTCTTGAAGACACAATAAAATGACTGTCTGAGATATGACCAGCCAAATATACTGTCCATGAGTACCTGACAAATCATATTACAACTCAGCACACAAGTGAAATTAATGGATGAAAACAGGACTTTGTCAAGGGAGTCCTCGGGTTCATACCAGAGCTTAATCTTGAACAGAAAGGATATTGAGGGATAATTCAATCAACAATACTAACAACATAACAACATTAATAAATCAAATCTTACCGGTTCTGTGAGGGTGCTATCCTTCTCTAAGAACTGTACCACACAGTAGGCCAGCTAAGGGAGATAGACAACATGATTTTTCCACTTCTAACCAAACTACAGTATTACAAACCCGTTATGGCAGAGCAAAGCATAATGCAACATTGCCAAAATAGTTACCTGTGGGTGATATACACTAAGTGATTTGACTTTGTGTAGAGGCAGCAGAACTTTCAGCAGGAATATCTTGTGCTCTTCTTTCAATGGTAATGCAAATCCATTGATTATGCTGTAAGGAGAAAGGTGGTCATTAGGGAAACAAGTGGAGTAGTTGTGCTTAGGAGCTCCACATCAACTGACTCTGGAAACATCATTATGTATCATTATGACCGTAACTGGAATGAACCAAAAGTAAAACTACGTCTTACCTGCCTAATATTTCCAGCAATTCTGCTATTCCGTTATGATGCTCAGTCTCATAAATGAACCTGAAAAATAGCAGCCACAAACATATGGGTTCATAAGTGAAAAACACTCCATTATTCACAAAAACAGCTCAAATGCCACTAATACAGACAGTATATCTAACACAAATACTCACTCACCTATAAAATATGTTATTAATCTGTTTCCTAATATATGCTCGCAGGCCCAGGAACTTGCCATAGATGCGATGCAGAGTGGTCTTTAAAAAATCTCTTTCTCTTGGGTCTTCACTGTCAAACAGATCTAAGAGCTGTGCACAAGAAAAGGTTACTTGTACAACTGATCACCTAACACAAAGACAAAAAACGTATCACACATAAACTTGTATCATTTTGTGCTCACCTGCATTACAAACCTCTGGTCAATATACTTTTTGGCTATGTTTGGTTGAAAGTCAGGTGACTCTAAGAACCGTAGGAAGAATTCATAGACGAGCTGTGGAGAAAAAAGCAAGAGGTTCAAAGATGAACCTGTAACAGCTGAATGGAGTATGTGTGTGTGTGTGTGTGTGTGTGTGTGTGTGTGTGTGTGTGTACCTGTAGATGCGGCCATGCAGCCTCTAGCGTAGGCTCATCTTCCTCTGGGTCAAACTCGGCACCTGTGGGGTTGGATGATGGCGGCAACGTTCGAAACATATTCACAGCAAACTGGGGAACAGACAAAGAAAGGCAAGTTAGCTCAATGCTCCAGTGAAGATTTAAAAATTCTCAATTAAAGACAAAGAATTCATGTTTCAACTACTGACACAGATGTCAGAGACAATCTGTTCATTTTACAACACAATATATACAACAATATTACAATGGAATCACTGGACAACAACAAGTGTCCAAAGGCCAAGTGCGTTCCTGTTGTTTCTCGGTAAAATTATAAATATCAATACCGGTTAAGAAAAGCATCTCAAACTTAAATCTGGCAATTGTGGCTTTCTGTAAATTCTGCTGGACGGATTAAATCTGTGATCTGAAGACTGGGTCTCTACAGAAACTGAATGTACACGCAGGAAAACACCATTTACACAGGATGCTTAACAGGTGAATGCGCATTATTAGTGTGTGTTTTATAAAACACACCTCTGTTTATCCACACTGTGCATTGACCTACAATCACTTGTAAATACCGTATTTAGTCTTACATTTAGCCGGGCTGAAAAGTAACAGTTGCTATTATAGAACCCTAGTAAACATTACCTCATGCTGTTGAGTTTGTCTATTCCACCTGCCATTCTGACAACCAATGACTGAATGTTTAATTCTAAAACACATCAGCTGAAATAATGAAACTGAATGGGGAATTCAGATCCATCAGACATGTTATTTGACAAGCAAATAAGACAGATAATCAATAGGTTGTGTTGCAAATGACTTCCAAAACACTGCAGCTCTGCACGCAACCTTTCCATGGCAAATTGGACTAAAAGTGTTAGATATGCGGGTTATTTTACTGCACAACCAACAGTAAAGAAACACTGGTGCAATGTTGTGTAGCCTATACAACCTTCTTCATCACCAAGTACACCACATTATTTCGCTTTTGGGAACAATTTAACTGCCGACTAAAGAATTAGATCTCTTATCAAGCACTCCACATATTGTTTCCAACTGTCTCAACGGACGACTCAAAAGAAATACAAAACAAATCTGCTTTCAAAAAGTTTCATGAGAAAATGTTGTGTTTTCTTTATGAAAAACAATGAATGAAAATTTGGATTAATAAATATTCCCTCTTGTGCTAGTCTGTGATAAGAGCTAAGAGTTTCCCTGAAAATATCATTCCCCAAACTGGGAAGCATCCATCTATTTTCCCTCAGAGTCTATTATCACTTTCCAGACTGCACACTTAGACAGTCCCACCACAGCGCAGTCGACCAGAGGTCAAAACACACTCACTCATCATTATGTTTATATTCTCAGCAGAAACCATTTCTTTCTTCCCCCCAGAGAATAGGACTAATGGAGCAACCAGTGCCGTGTCATGCAAAGGTCTGCCAAAATATTGTTCTAAAGCTTCAACACTGAGGCATCAAACATGCTCTGAAAGGACAAGGGCTTATGGGAGAAAACAAAACATACAGTCTTAACATAAGAATACACTCTTTATGGCTATAAAGGAGTTAGTCGTGTCAATCTCCGTACTTTGATGATGAAAGCCATCAGTGGACTTCAAAGAGTCCTTGTCTTTAAGGGGGCAGGGGAAAGGGGCTGCCAGGAATAAGAGTATATTTTCATGTTGATTTGGCAGCTCTGTTGCATTTTCTGCTGCATTGATCAAATAAAGCCACGACGAGGAGGATGGAGGGAAATTTGCACCTTGATCATCTGCAGTTTACCATGTGGCATTGAGGCAGGGCTTTGATTAACATCAAAGGCCTTTTAATTTGGCTTGGGAAAGCAAACCTGGCACCACGAACACATCCAGGCCACAACCTCAGAGGGACACATTTCTAATAAATATACAGTAGGAGCTCAGTGACAGCCACACTGACTACAGCCCCACTGAATGAACAGGCTCTGATTTATAGGAGGTAGGAGCTATAGACAATTTAGATTTACTGACCTCAAATGGGTGAAGGATCTTTAAACAAAGCCCACTGAGGGACCACTTCAGGGAAGCTAAATAAATGGGTCACTTAATGGCTTTACCAATGATTTAAAGGATAACAGTTGAGTCAGGTTTATGTTACACAGATCTTTGGGTTCAAATTGAGGTCAGTGATGCTCATGTGAGTTTCCTATGACTTAGTGAGGAACCTGAAAATAAAGACTAAAATGGTCTGAAACCAGAAGTACTGCTGGTAGTGGAAACCACAGTGCAATCTCTTCCCATGGTCAAGGAATAAACATCACATGAAAAAGACAAATGTAGCTTCTTCACTAATTGCAGATCATTACAAAGGTCCCATACTTAACACTTTTCCGGTGTTTTATTTGAAGTGTTGATATAAATATAGAACCTAGACCTGCTTTATTATCAAAATAAGACATGGAACTCTCACTTTATACAATATGGGACCTTTAAAGCAATAGCTGCAAAATCTACTGAGTCAGATGACTCTTCAAGGTTACGCTATTTACTAAAACACAGAAGAGCTCTATTCTCAAGCATGCCTTATAGAAGAGAAAATCCCTCTCCTCATGAACATGTAACTGAACATTTTTCAAACCTGACCGAGCTACTGTACTTATCTGAGTCAGACAGACAACAGAAAGACACGGTATGTTTTATGGAGCTTTAAACTATGGGCTTATGATAAGAAAAAAGCTTCAGCAGACTCACTTGCTCGCTGGGTAGAGTAAGCCTGTTATATATATTATATATCATAGGTGTTTATGGATGCCAATCTAAATTAGAAGATCCCCTTATTTGTGGGAAACAGTGATGTGATAAATGTTCTTCATGAATAACAGGAATTAAAAGTGCGTTTATTATATTATGTTTAATGCAGATTGTGATACCATTTAATACCATTTGAGATGCAATGATACAAAAAAAATCCATCACGGTACTCTATGCGGGCCCAAAGAGATACTATGGACTGGAGAAAAAGACCATGATTTGTTGTGCAACCTTGTACAGAGGCCACATAAAACAGTAGCAGACACAAATGTACTGTAGTGAGCTTTAGTGAGCTTCTACTCACTAACCTGAAACTCAACAACCTGCTACATCAACCTATACACAAAGTCTTACTGTATCATCACAGAGGAAAAAATGTCTGAGCCCATGTGAAGGAAACGAAAATGCAACATTCTTGGGGGACATTAAGTCTTTGTTCATGGTGAATAATGTGCAGTATTCAGATAGCTAACCTGAGTATGTTCACTGCTCAGTCTATTGGACAATTTAAATAATTACATTTTCTGTTACCAAACATTTAATGGCTCAAAAACAAAATAATAACATCCTTGATTGTTAACTTTGTTCGATGTCAATGACAATTCCAAGTCCCTAATTTAATACTGACCATGTGAACCACCTCTGGGTAGATGGGTTCGGTGATTACGTTCCTGTTGTGGGTGATGTACTCCACCATCTCGCTCAGCGCTGCCCGTTTCACCTCCTTCCATTTCAGGTCACTCAGTGGGTCTGACACAAAATCGAAGAGGACGCAGCATTGCCGCAACTTCTGGATGAACAGCTTCTCCTGCTCTGCAGGGGGAACATCTACACGACAGAAATACAGGAAGATGGGAATTAACAGGTGTCGATGTGTGTGAAGATTTCAGAACAGGAACAAATTGTGTCTTCAAAGCACAATGTTAATCCTATTTAACAGCAAATAGAACAGCAGTGAGATGCAATTGTGCATTCAAGTTAATAACACTGTATCTGAGAAATTATCCTGCACACTATCAGAGCTGCAATTTGGCTATCACTCAGCTCAACTACAAGAGTTTTATCCCACTATCATTATCATCGACAAATGTGTGTGCGTTTGACTTGGAGCAATGAGGGGACTGTTGCTGTGATCACCCTTTAAAAAGGACAACAAGTCATTCCAACATGTTCTGAAACAAAATACAAGCCAGATGCCTGTATAGTAAATTAATCCAAAATTACACTAAATGATAGAGGAGAGGGTGAATATTAGACTTAACAGAATGGGTCATAATAGAAAAGCCCAAAAAGTTGCCAGAAGTTTAATATTTCAGAAATCACATGCATGATACTGTCTTTTATAGACAATGCAATCTCTGCTGTAATCTCTGCTGTCCATGAGGTGTTAATGACTTATACACTTTGAGGCTTTGTTTGTTGTCGTGGTAATCATCAAAAATCATTGTTCAAAGGTTTTTCTCCTCTCATCCCCTCTCCAATTAGTCAGTGATAATTTCTACCAAAGCCTCAAGAGTTATTCCGGTTCAGTGCAGCTGGAGTTAATTTGGTGATATGCAGACGCTTCATTTAAAGACTTCATTAAACAATAATTTAGCTTTCAAAGACAGTGTCACCACAACATTAACAATGCATATGTCTCGAGGAGCACAGGGCCACACCTGTCTGTCTAAAATCATTATCTTGCAATTTAAAACATGTTGTACATGTTTTTGTGGATACTGCAAACTCACTGTCAATGAGCCAACTTCCAACAGTTGTGTCAAATAAATCAATGATTAGCACGAATGATGAAAAGACTCTCACTCAATATACATTCAATTAAATAAACTATTATAAAATGAGAAAAAAAGAACTATTCAAATGGCATGTTAAAAAGGTAGGTTTTCAGCTTAAAATATGACAAGATTTTTTTTTTTTTTTATCAGCCCTCACATATTGATATGAAGCCCGAGCCAGCAGCTAGGAGCACAGAAGCTAAATACAGAATCACCAAGGTTATTTTCTGCACTTTGAAACTGTTACAAGTCTGCTCCCAGAGGAACTGAAGGGCTTTCCCAACTTGCACATCGATAATGTTTCAGACATAAGTTGTAAGGCCATGTAGTGCTTTATAAACAAGTAAAAGAACTTAAGAACTATGCTAAACCCTAACAGGTGGCCATTGCAGGGATTTGATAATAACTGTAATGTGCACTCTCTATCTGGTTCGTGTCAGCACTCAGGCAGTTGAGTTCTGGATCAAGTGTAATTGACTTATGGCTTCTTTGGGACGACCAGAGAGGACACCATTAATATGATCAGTCTATGTATTGCACTAAGTAGTTATACTATAAACTCTATCATGATGTAGATATTGTATTGAGACTCTGCTTTCACTAAGAGAGAAATAGTTTTGCTTTTAAATTGACAAAATGTCAATAACAGCCTGTAGGAAATGACACAAGAAGCAGAGAAACAGCTTCTCCTGCAAATCAATTTGCCTCAGTTTGTTGATTCCTAAGCTACAAAAAGTATCCTGAAACCAAGAGAATTGCAACGGTGCTCATTCATTTTCACCCAACGTGAGGATTAGTGGCTTAAACCAAAATGCCACCTTATAAAACCTACCTATAGGGCAGTTTGTCACAGCCTGGGATTTATCAGTCGGTCTTTTCTCCTCATTAACAATCAGTATGTGTACTGTACATCACCATGGTGCCCATGGACAGAGATAGGACTTTGGACCAGGGGGTGACCGCTGCTATTCAGAGATGCATGCAGGCTGCTGTTACACTGGAATCATATGCTGCTGATTTGCTGAGCCCATCAGCTGCGCCCAAGAGATGTGTCAGCCAAACTGACCTTGGACAATACCAACTAGTAGTAAAGAGAATGCACTCCAACACAACTAATCAATACTTTCTACAACTTAACAATTAATAAAAAGGTAGAAATGCAGAAGTGTTGGGGCTACACCTAGTCATTATTGTAATTATCAAATCACTGTCATTATCAATCAATCTGCTGACTATTTCCTATTTTAATCAATTCATTGTTGATCTACAAAAATATAATATAATATATCATAAAATTGTGAAAAGTGGCAATTCTTCACAGCCCAGAGTGTCGTCTTCAAATGTCTCGTTTTGTCCAACTAATAGTCCAAAACCAAAAGATATTCAAATATGCAAAGCAACAAATCCTCAGAAGCTGGACGAGGGAATGTTTGCCATTTTTGATCAAAAAATTATTAAAACAATGATCAAATTACCAAAGCAGTTGCTGACTAATCAATCTGTTGACTCATCACTAGTATTCAGAAACCATATTGTGTCATTATGTTCACAAAATTAAGCAGAAACAAACTGGAAATGTCATTATGTATGCAACAGGTAGAACCTATAACACAGCTTTATCATGGTGACAACAAATCCACAAAGGACAGTCCCAGATGCTCCTGCAAAGCGCATCATAAAGATGTCCCACAAAAAGGTGATTAGGAAGCTAACCTTCTTATTCAGACAAACAAAATCAGTTCGACAAAAAACAAACAGCCAAAATCTGACAGACAACTAGTCTCAGATTGAAGAAAATATTTGGCAGTTCAGACCGATCAAATGAGGCAGCACACTTTGGCAAAACTCAGTGGTGTATTTGGGTAATTCTTCTCTTTAGCAAACACTACTACATGTTATGCAAACAAAAAAAGGAGGTTATGTTACTTGAAAACGTGAACCACACGACCTCATGTAACTGGAACTAGCACCAGGATGTTCACACATGTTTACCACAAACAAACACTGCAGTTAACAAAACCCTCTATGCTAACTCTATAAACCCACAAGACAATTTCTAATCTTATACAGGTACTTTCTCATATCAGGAAACCAATACATAGTAGATGTATAGATAAATCGCTACATGAATTAGCACACATTCATGATTTACAACATGCACACTTTTCCAAACCTACATGTTCAGTTTAAGCAACATTGTGTAGCCATCATTTGTATAATCTGCCTTAAGTACACAACATTCAACTATCTTTTAACAAACAATTTAAACATTGTTTCATTTTGCAGATTTATTAAAAACAATAAGGAAACAGTGATCACATCAATAACTACAGTGATCTGTATATTAATTAGCAGTATAATCTGCACAGCCCTCTTTTGAGTATTGCCTCTACAGCATGTAGCATGCAGAAAATGTAATAACTTGGCAGTGGTGAAATAAGTCAATTTAAAGAGATCTAGAACTGTAGATGTGCAAACTCCCACAGACTAGAGCCTGAACCTGGACCAACAGCATCATCAGACGGACTTTCCCTACACCTCCACATTTGTGAGTCAGGGTAGCACAGCTGCTCAACACACACATTACGCAATGAAGCTACCTGTGTGCTACCTGTAAATGTCACATATTGTGCCTAGTTATTAACCTTCTGCTTTATAATTACTCTGAAACAGAATAAGAGGTGGTGGACGAGGCATCAAACAACTTGTTCTGTGAGTGTATATCAGTCTTTATGGTCGGCTTCTGCAGTACGGTACCTTGGAACAAGGAGTCAAACCAACAGATTACACAACACTTTTGAATCTATATTCAGACACTGTGTAGAATAGTGACAAGTCTGTAAGTAGGTCTGCAGTAACATCATACTTTATTCCCTCTATCCAAACTACTGGCCACAAACAGGATCTAATTGACCGCATAAAAAGGTCACACAGCTGAAATTTACTTCACCCTTAAGCTTTGACTACCACATTCATGGAAAACCCTGATGTGGATCTGTTTTATGTTTTGCACACTCAAGTTTATACTTGTATTCTGTCTTCCTTTCCAACAAGCTGTAGTTTTATACTGTGAAGCAGTTATCACTGAGATATATAACTTTTCTGGGGAAAACCTCAGAACAACTTTCTCTGTCCAGCACTGCAATATCACCCCTACTCCTTTTTTTTTTAAGCCCATACAGTGTCTATAAAAGGGTATTTAGCGCTTTTTTGACAATGAACAGGAAACCGCTTTGATGTCAAAATGAAAAACAAAGCTCATCACATGTGTGCAAATTAACAGAACATATAGTGAATGCACTTTCACCTGGTTTACTCTGATGTCCTCAATAAGGAAACTTAAAGGTTCAGCACACCTGTATCTGGACCTATATCTGAAACATGGGTCCATCTGTGAGCACCTCATCTCATCGGCCCCTGAGTGCCAAGAGCTCCTGTTACACAACAGCACTAGGGTTTCTGAACAGGCCTAAAATATTAAGAGACATGCTGTGCAACTGCAGACTTCACACGCAGACCTCTCTGCATGGATGGGCAAATAACCTTTACTCATCTAAAGGCTCCAGCTTGCACACAGGAAACCTCCAGTCGTGGAAATTGCTCCCAAGTACAAATCTCCAACACCACAATGTCTACTGCAGAATATATAATGAACTCATTGGCAGCACTGGTAAAAACTCTACACAAACTCTGTGCCGATGCAGACATAGAACAACCAATACAAATTGGGACAGGCAGCCATCTGCTATTATTGGGCTACAAGTATCCCTTTGCTTTTAAACGCCATAAGGTGGTTTTAACACTGTCGCAAGTCACAACATGAGACTAATGTCTCAGCAGTAGAAGCCTGCGTGTGCTATAATAGGCTGCATGTTAAATGACCACAGCCACATTAGCTTCTGGAGAAAGTTCTTCTGGTTGATTGTAAACAAAATAATATACAAACAACGTCTTAGCATTCATTTAGAGTCAGTTTCTGTTTCCCATGCTCAACCAAGTGTACTTGGTGCAGGTCCCTGTTTGTCTGATGAGACAGCAACTCAGACGCCT